AATACTACTATAATATAATCCTTATTTTCAAATATTATCAAAAAAAAATTTATTTAAATATATTAAAATTTAAAAAAGTAGATCATAACCATATTTATGATAATTTTCTGGGCAAATTTGCCTGGAAAAGCCTATAGTTTAAGAGATAATATTTTAATAAATGTATATATACAGTATATATATATATTTATATAATTACAATAATATTCGACAAGGTATCTGTTATCATATCCATAGCTATATTTGTTGTTAGATTCTTATTACCGTAGAGCATTGAGCAAAAGACCCTCCTTCTTGAGTACCACCCATGCAAGATACCCTGGCACAAATCACGATATCTCTATTAATTAAATGTGGTTTTTTTTAAATTTCTAGACTACTTATTGTAAATGCAGAATATGTATATACTTGAAAATTTTTTTCTTTGCGATACAGACCCGCTGCTATATAATATACCCAGGTCTTTTGTAAGTTTTTTGACAGGTATTTTGTATTAGACCCCAGGTCTTTTGCTCAGTATACTACAGTATATCCGTATCCATTGTTAGGTTCATTGTCGTATCTGTTGTTGTATCTACCAATTTTTTTATTTTTGGTAGGATTTAACTTTAGCAAAATATTATTGTATTGACTACAAAGAGAAAAATTGAAGGCTTTCTTCAAATTTATTTGATAATTATGTTCTTGAACTATTTTATGGATATATTCAAACTTTGCAGCTGCCCAAGTAGGTTCAAAAAAGCATGTATACACATGCTTAACCTCAGTGGTCCTATTTTTCTTATTTGGAACTAATAATTTTTTACAGCTACAAGTAAAATAGTGTAAATCTTTTGCACAATATAAACATTTCCGACATCCAAAACATGTTCCCCGATGATATTTGAGTTTTGTATTTGCAGCATCTGCCATTAAGGTTTGACAAATTTGATAAGAAAAAATTTTTTTATTATTTTTAAAATTTTTTTATTATTTTTTAAAATTTGGTAATAATTACATAATATATTTTTTTAACGATAATTTGTTCATAATTACATAAAATATTTTATATTAATGATAATTTGTTCATAATTACATAAAATATTTTATATTTTGGATTCCCGATTCTAGATTTTTGGATTTTCAGATTGTATGTGGTGTGTGCTGCATAAAATTTGATGGACACACTAATTTGAAAAGAGCGATAAACTTCAAAAAAGCCAATTACAGAATAGTATATTGTTCCGAGAATACCTGAAAATAATATTTATACTTCTGAAATTTACTGCTTCAATGTCAGGTCACCTGATTTTTAATAATTTTTGACCAATAAAAATTGAGAATTTTATAAAAAATGATAAAAATTTGTATTTATTTGGGTAATGACAGGCAATTTGAATTTCTTTAGAATTTGGTTATGAATTTGGATTTATTTGGATTTATTTGTTTCCAAATTTTTACGGGTCCCTGATACGTACGTACCTGGTATGTAGAATTTCATGAAATGTAAACAACCTAGCATGGGCACTATGTTTTAATAATACACGTGCCAGCACTAGCAGAACTTTAATACATATGCAGACGTTGATTTGCAAATATAATTTATAGCAAAAAATTTTAAGTATATAAAATTTATAATTGGTTTTATTTTTCAGGTTTTTATTACCTGTATACATAAACATAGTGTGCAAATTGTAATTTTTTCGTACAGAAATATTACATAAAAATTTGGGGCAAATTTGTCCAGAATTGAAAGCTAGAGCTTTGCTTTTAAAAATCCAAAATTTAATTTATCGCTACATTAGGCACGCGTACGTACATCTATCTGTCACGTTTATCTAACGCTTTTACCTTTTCTATTGCCTTCGGATGTCCTTTGATAGCCGCCAACTTCAAATACTTTGACCCTTGTTCGAAATCTTTTTTATATAACAAATTGCCTAAATTAAATAACGCATCTCTATTTCCGTTGTTAGCACCCATTGTTAAATATTTAATCACTTCTTTTCTGTCTTTTGGCCTTATTTCTTTAGCAAGTGCGTAAAACACTTGTGCATCTAAATTACCTTCATCCGCAGCTTCTTTAAAAAGTCGAGCTGCTTGTTCATAATCTATTTCAACGCCACCATAACCATAATATAAGTACTGTCCTTGCCAGTATTTCGATTTGGGACAACCGAGTTTAGCATTGGATACAAAACATTCCCAGGCTAGCTTTCTACTTTCGTCATCTCCTTTCTTGTGAAGCTTGATCCCTTCATCAAAGGGTAATATTTCTTCAAAATCAAGCTCTTCAAATTCTGGCGTTAATGAATCATCATCTTGGGAAGATGATCCATCCAAATCTAAAGTTTTATCATCATAAACTACTGGTGGGTCGCCATCTTTCGCAAGTTTTTTCAATGATTCAAACAATTCCATAATGCTTGGTCGTTGGTCCGGATCTTGATGCCAAGCTTTGAAATTGTAAGCAAAAAAGTTTTTTTTTTTTTTAATACTGTAAAAAAACAAAAAAAGATCCCTCCTGATCATGAATAATTTAACTACATACCTCCTTTAATGATATTTTCAAATTCTTTTTGGATTATTTTGTCTTGTTGGTATAGTGCTGGGCCAAAAGTAACTTTTTCTCTACCACCGGCTTTCACAAACTTTATCATATTTTCTATATCCATATCTTTATACGGAATTTTTTCAAAGGAAAGTTCCCAAAGAAGCATCCCAAAACTATGAAAAAAATAATCATGTCAAATGCATGAAAAGCATTAAAGGAAATGTTTATATTTGGTTAATTTTTTACCTGAAAACTTCACACTTTGAAGAATATGGAACTTTAGAACTCCGAATTTTTTCCGGAGCTAGCCAACGAACAACATCTACAATACGACCACCAATATCCATAGATATGTTAGAAGTCACATTACGAGAGAACTCGAAATTTGCAATTTTTGGTTGATAATATTTAGTCATCTGTTCAGATTACAAAATCAATAAAGATAATCAATCATAAAAATCTAGAAAACCTTACACACTAAAAGGAGTATGTAATACACTTACCATAATATTTTCACATCGAATGTCATGATGAAAAACCTTGACCATACCATTTAAAAACGAAATACCAAGACAAATATCGTGGGCTATATTTGCTTTTGTTTGCCATGAAAGATCTTTGCTTTCATATAATTCTTTTAAATTTCCTAGTTCAGCCCATTTAAAAACCAAAATGTCTTTTTCTTCGTAACGAGATACGCCATAAAATTTAAGAAAGTAATCGCAATCACCTAGCATTTCCAATATTGCCAATAGTGATTGAGCTTTTTGGTTTTTGGTCCCATCAGATCCGTAAAGATCTATAGGTTTACAAGCAACTTCAGTCTGTTGTGATATATACTTTTTTTTGACTACTTTTCCAGAGCGAACGCTGACATTTAGATCTTGTAATAAATTCGGATCTATGCTTGTTGGTTTAAAATCTGATTTATCATCAGCTCGATTTATCATCTCTGCAGCAAACTGCAATTTCGTGTCGACTTTATCGTCTAATTTAGCCATCCACTGGAGGAGTGATAAAGCATAAATTTAATTAGTATTAATAAAAATTTTTTTAAAGCATCGCTTTACATAAAGTACTAGTACATACATCAATTATTCTATTAAGATCGTTATCTACCCGTTGTTGATCAATAATTCTTTGTTCCTCATTGTGAATTAAGGTGCTGAAATTCAAAATTTTCATGCGTGTATCGAATTCTTTAGACAGTGTATCAAATGCTTCTTTTACGTTATTAGCGGTGATAAACTTTTTAAAACTACTAAGCTGAGATACTTGTTTAGTAAAATTCTTTATTTTCTCCAAAGTCTGTCTAAATTTTATCAAATTATTGCAATATTCTTTATCAAGAGAAGCATCTTTTCTTCGCAATAATCTCTTAATAGGATATTCAGCTAATTGTACTTGATCTAGTAATATACCACACATTCCTTCGTTACATTGTGCTGTCTGATATATGACACATATTTCTTCACATAATTTAAGTACAGCAGTTGCTACAGCTGCGATAGGCACGAAAGCTGAAACTGCATTGGATACTGTTTCCGCAGTACTAATAACTTCCTTGACGCAGTCAAGTTTAGAAACATTAATGTCAATATCATTATTTTCCACCATTTTGAATATTAATATATGCGTAAAAATAAATTTTTAAATTTAATATATGAATGCTAAGTAAGTTGATGAAAAATGTGAACAGAGATAATTATGATGTTACGACCGGCCTGCCGGTCTAAAGATCTAAGAGTGAAAAAAAAAAAAAGATAGAATTCACAACTAGATGATTTTTTGTTAAAAAGAAAATGGCGGATTATATAGATGTGTCTACATATAGTAATATATAGTAATATGAGAAAACATATAACATTACCAAAAATTTTATTACTCTTTGTTTAAAAATTAAACAACAAATTATTTTTAAATAACAAGGAAATCGTCAATGTTGTACGACACACTTTAACAAACTTGCGTCTCAACATGTTTTAAATCTAATTTGACTTTACAATTCTAATTATCTTAATAATGCTAAGGCTGCTAACTCATTACATTGTTGCGTATATACAGTGATATTGTCTTGATGCTCTTAACGTAACACAATATTATTAATACGTATTATTCTATACATATCCATAATTTTAATTCTGATATGGATTTTCCTTATAAAGACTTAATGGAATACAACGCAATGGCACTTTCTTAAATTTAGACACGTTTAAAATCCTTTTTTGTTCACAATGACAATAATATCATTTTTTATCAAAAATTCTTGAAACAAAGATTATTTAATCCAATTACATGAAAATATTATTTGCTAAAAAAAGAATAAAGCTTAAATCGTTATGATTGCATGAACGCATATATGAACGCATATAATAAAGAAATTACGACCAAAAAAGGAAAGCTTCTTGTTTTTCTTGCACCAAGTGCATTTCACATATCCGAAAATGATATTACAAAGATCAAAGTTGTGCTTTATTATCGTTGTCTGTAATTCTTTGTAATACAATTTAAATGATACTATAGATAAGGTTTCTTGACATTGATGCTAATAGTCGCATTTATTCTTGAACTAACAATTATGCCATAAAGTCTAACGTTAATTAGTACTTAAGGTTAAAATAATGGCATTAACTATAATACTTAATGTATTATCCCATGTCGTTTTACAGACAATTTTGTGTGTAGATTAACTGTTCCGATAACCCTCTACAAACTAAAGCTATTACCCGGGTCGGTTGACCCGTACGGGTCACTGTGTTATCATATTTCTGGAACACCTGATAAGATACATTTGTGATTTCGGCATGATCCGTATAATAAAAACTATTTTTAGTATCAATGATCATTATAACAATAATGCCAATGCTATTGTTCAACATATTTGGTGTGTTTAGTTTGTATATAGCAAGAAATATAAAAACGACAGGATATAAATTAGATTCTAATAATAAACATATTACACGATTTGCACTAATATTAAATAAATACTATACATATATAGAACATTACTTTTTCTTTTTATACCCAAGTTGATTTATAGACTAAATTGTCAATTCATACAAATACCAATCAGTTTTTTCTTTTTATTAAAGCTATTTTATATCGGTTGTAGTCTTCCTGAAAGTGATCGTATAGGCCAATTTGTATCACTATGCAGAAGAGGGAATCCCATACCCTAAAACTTTTTGATGATGAAAAAGGTTATTTGACAATACAATTATCTGACAGACAGCTCACTAGACAATTAACTATATCATTTTTGAGGCGGAAGGTTTATTTTTAACACTACACAACAATGACAAATGGCATGTCTTAATAGGTTCAGGGTAATAATTAGACGATAATCTATATGGGTTTTAAGATAATCTAATGGGTTTGATGCATATTCATTAAATCCTTCGTGCAGAATGGACCCTCAATAAATAAAAACAATCGTTTTAATCATTCGTCAGACCAATCAAAAAAATTAAATAAGGGGTTTAGACTAAATTTAGTGACTCTATACGGGGCCCAATTGCAACAAATTAGCCCATACGTAGAAATTTTTAAATACATTCATATGGGCTAGTTCACAGCAAAAGGGGCTTAGAGACATTTTTAGCAAAGCAATTTTTACTGGATTGTGTTTTTAAATTAGTTATTTACAGTAAATTCAGAAATTTTCTAATCAAATTATGGTCTTAGTCCATAGAGTGTTTGATCGACTAATTGTGACAAAAAATATATATAGTCCTAATTAAACCAATTAGTACAGTTTTTTACTATGATCATATTGTTACACGAATAAATATCATTTTTAATAGGAATTTACTATACGAAAGTGATAAATCTTTAAAATCTAACTCCTCGCTTAGTATTAATTTTTTAAGCTTAAAAATAACATAAAATAGATTAAAAAACCATGCCTTTTAATTTGTTATGAGGTTTTTTTTGGTATTTAAAATTTTTTTTTTTTTTTTTAATACAGTCAACTCCTTTTATAGTCACGTCTTGAGATACAAAAAACTGTGATTATAATGAGGTGTGATTAATATAGAGATATTTTTTATATAATTATAAATAATTAATAAAATAAATTTATAATTATATTAATTTTGTAACTATATAGAAGGTGACTATAAAGAGGTTTGATTGTATTTTATAGCTACTGTCAAATCTCTCTATGATCATCTTCTCTATAGTTATAAAATTAATATAATTACAAATTTATTTTTACTAATTACTTATAATTATATAAAAAATACCTCTATATTAATCATATATTTTTATAATCACAGTTTTTTATATCTTAAAAGTGTAACTATAGAAGGGTTAACTGTATTTATATAATTTAAAAATTACAAATTTGTAAATAATTTATGTTATATCTTAAAAATTTTAATACAAGAGTTCAAAGTATTAGTTCTAACATATTGATTAATTTATTTATCTTTTCAAAATTCTAAATATTCATTAAAAAGATACAATTCTAGAAAAACATAAAATTTTAAATATATCAAATAATAAAAGAATAATTAAGAAAAAAAGGGTATCAATTGATATTAACAATAGATAGATTGTTTCTTATAATCTATATTTAAGTCAAAAATATAATTGTTATAAATATTATACTAATAATTAGCAAAGTATGGTAACTTAGTGAAGTAATAAAGTTGTCACACCTCCAAGTAGCACATCTAGAGTTTGAATCCTACTGTCAATAAAATTTAAATTTTCTGTTGTAAAATAATTATTGTAATGATAAGTTGAATTGCTAATCTGTAACCAAGATCGTATCGGATATCTGGAAGGATTATTAAGTATAATATATAAATTATACAAAGGCATGTAAGCTAGTATTAGTTGGTGCAAACCCACGATAAGTTTTGATAATCTATGTAAAGCCAAGAAATTGAAGTTATGGATATCCACTTGACAAAACCCAAGTAAAGAGATAGCACAAATCTTTGATAATACTATATAAAGGATTATTATTAGGAGAACTAGAAAATGAACAGAACTAAGGTACATAGAAAGATATCCTACCAACCAGGCCACAGGGTTAGAAAAAAAGAATCTGCTTAGTTGCAAATATCAGAGGACTAGTAACTTATGATTGAAAGTTCTTCTCAGGCTATCTGAATTGGGAGTTTGAAATAGCTAGATTAAACTGGAAAAACTGAACAAATTAAGTGTATAGACAAGCACTCTACCAACTAGGCTACCAGAACTAGAGAAAAAAGATCTGCTTAATTTGTGATTTTCAGAAGACTAGTAACTTTTAGGTGAAAATCTCTTTTAGACCATCTGAATTAGTAGTTTGAAATTCAATAGATACTTCTAATAGTCTGTAAAGTGTGTACTAGGATTTGGGTAAATTCTACAAGGGCAGAAGTAGATAATAGTAGTGGCTTCAGCTTACAAGTACTTGTTCTTGGACTTGGCATAAGTTACTGAAGCTTAAGTTAACCAGATTTTAGATATAAAAAGTTCTAGCAGGTTTACCTCGAAAATAAAATTGTTCTAAGGTTGTAATGAATATTAGTTTGAGATTATGTATTTAAAAATATATGTACAGTTGATGCGGGACTAATACTGTAAAAGTAATCTGTTAAACATAAATAAAAGCACTGACCAAAGAGATCACTTTAATACTGAAAATAAAAACTAATAACTAGCAAGATATATATATAGTAGATAGCAAAAGTAATATCTGATCTGTAAATTAATTTATATAATCAAATTAAAAAGTATTGTTTGCTTCAAATTTATATTTTTAAAAGTAATTACAGTTAATCTCTCTATAGTCACATCTTTGAGATACAAAAAATTGTAATTATAAGAGATGTGACTAATATAGAGATATTTTTATATAATTATCTTTTAGATTGTAAACTATATAAACAAATTTGCTTATGTTAGTATTATAAATATGCTACTGATATACTTTTTTAAAAATTTAGAATATTTGAATAAAATTTGATATAATAGTATTTATTTTTAGATTATAAAAAAAAATTTAGATTATTTATAAACCAAAAATATGCAATTTTAAAAATAATTTTTTTAAAAAAATATTTTAGTTTATCTATAATAAATATTTTAAATATTAATTTTAAATCTATAGTTTTTAATACAATTTTATAGTTTGAATAATAGATTATAATTTTAAAGCCTCGATACATGATCGTTAGTTCTATTTATACTGAGCTGCTCTTTTCAAATTACAAAATTTTCTTAT